TTCACCTCGTACAATACGGCAAAATAAACAATCAACTATTTCATTATTTTCTTTTGAATAGATAACACCTTTTTTACGTCGAGTTTTAGCCTGTTCAGCACCCATATATTATCTTAAAAAGAACAATTTTACGAAAATACAAGAAATAAGATCATGTCTTCCCCAAGACAAACAAAAAACACACAAAAAAGAAAAACTTTTATTGAATTTTTGCGAGAGCTGCTGTTCGTCTTTCAGATGTTTGAAAAAGAGCTCGAATAAGTTGTTTAATTTCTAAAGCTGTAAATTGACTAGCAAGTGGTCCTTGTCCATTAAACCATCGATCAACAATATTTTGTAAAGAACTATTTAAAACAAGACATAATTCATTAAATCTTGTTAAATTTGGTGCTAAACGAGCAAGAATATTTAAACCAGGACTAAGTTCATCTTTAACAAGTATATTTTGTAAAAACGATGACCATTGTGTAAAAACATTTACCATTATTTGACATTCCTGTTCTGGAATATCTTCAAGTGATAATGTTTCTTTAATAAGAAGATGACTAACATGATCACATAGATATCCTAATTTATTTTAAAAGAAATGAAATAAAATTTTTATTTCGTTTTTTTTTTCTTTGATTATTCTTACCAATAACTTTAAAATAAACTTGAGGTGAAAATACATTTCGCCAATTATGTGAAAGATTTTCCATATGCATTATGCATTTATTAATAGCTCGTTTTAATATATCTTGATTTTCATCTTCATCAGCAATATTATGAAATGCTATTTAATACAAAAAAAACAAAAAAAAAATAGAACAATAATGAAAAGAACACAAATGAATATTACAAACCTCCAATTTCTTTAATAAAAGATGTTAATGTATCTCTTTGAATATCTAATTGAGATTTAAGTAAATTTGCTGCTTGATTACGAAATATAGGAACATAATCAACAAATGTTATTGGTTGACCATCACCTGTTTTAGTTTTCAAATGATAATATTCTTCACCAAGAATAAGACATACATGTGCAACATACATATATGTATTAAAATGTAACGCTACAAAAAAAATATATAAATAAATTTTAAACAGATACTATTTTCAGTTAAATTTTTAATAAAAAAAAATATATCGGTTTGATTGTAATTCAAGATGAAATAGATTACATTTGTTGTTTTGACTGAAAAAAATCTTAAAAGCTGATTTGATACAGAATTTCTTGTTCAGACAGACTTCAAATCACTAACAACAATGAACGAAAAGACAATAAGAGTAGCGTTCTGCAGAACAAACTTTTTCATGTCCCAAATCCCATTCACTGAAACTCGGCTAACTACACCAAGTGTAATAGCTGACTTATTGCTTCTCACGCGCTTAATTGGCATAACAAATTTCAATTCTTCATCTGCTCGATGCATTAGTCGCGACTCAAATCAGCCACTCGTTCTCCATATCTAACCATTATTTCAAAATAAGAAAAAATTTGCCAAGATCGTTAGCATGTGATGGAGTATACATCTGAAATCTGTTTTTTCAAAAATTTGATTCCGTTTGGAGAATATAAAAATGCAGAAATGATAAATAACACCTGAAAGTTTCATAATATGGTCATACATGACTCAATTTGAAAATGATCATTGATAATTTAGATGCTATATGCAATAGTTTACTTATATGGCAATAATTCATTTAGACTTATTACTTCTTAACTTATCATCTGAGCCAAGATAGTCGAACTCGACTAAAATTCATTATGATTTCCTCTACAGAAGTCTAAGATTTAGAAAGAGCAGTTGTCATGTAAGATTGCTGTCTGACATTCTTCGAGCTTGCGCAGTCAGCAACATTTTCTACTTGGGCTTTGTTTGAGTAGCAATTTAGTTCATTGTCTGTTCTTTTTTCTATTATATATTTGTACGACATGTTTTGATATAGAAGTTAAAGAAATTCGAAACATTGATTATTTTCTATGTTGTCCCGAATTCCGTTTGTCTCATCCGACAATTTTTAGAATTGTCTCGCAGGACGCGAGATAAGAGATAGTGATATCATTATAGTCTTTGGAAAAATTCTGCATCGAATCAGTTTGAAACGTTTTAAAAGTGGTCATTTTATCCATTATTATAATTTGAAAAAATCAAATTCATATTATTAATCATTACCAGTTAAATAAGGAAATTCTTGTGCCGATTTTTCATGTAAATTTGCGTATATTACATGAAACAATTCCATCATATTTCTTGCTGTTGCACATAAATGTGCACCATAATTTTCCAATTTATCAGCTTCTTGTACAACAGTTCGAATAAATTCCATATATTCATAAACATGTTCCCTTGAAAGAAAAAGAAACAAACGAAAAAATTTCATCTTTCAAACAAGATATGAAAATTTTTGTTTTTACACAATAATTGTACGTGGAAATCGAAACATATTTGCATCTAATTCATCTAAACTAATAGTTGATGATAAAATATTTGATGAAATTTCATTTTTATATTTTTCTTTATCTTGTTCATTTTGTTTAAATAATTGTTCATTATCACCAATTTCAATTGTTTTTAATGATGTTGTAATTATTGCATTTGATTGAAGTAATTGTCGACTTTGATATAAATATGTACGACAACGACTTTTTATTATTGCTTCATCAATATTTCCAACAACAGAAGAAATAATATTTGAGATTTTATTAGCAGAAAAAAATTTTATTTCATTTAAATATTTTTCAAAATCTACAACGGTTTGTAATAATGAACGAAATATTTCAATATATTGAAAATCATTTGGAATTATATTTAATAAATGTTCACGAATAAGTTCAATAAAATCATTGGAGATAGTTGAAGAGAATATAGTCATTAATGAAATCGATTCAATGGATCTATTAGAATAAAACAAGAATATTTTAAAATATTAAAGAGATTTATTTTGAAGACTAAGAGGTTCAATGCTGTTCTAGTTTTTTTTTCTTGGTGTTCTGAAATACAAATTTTCGACTGTACTAGACTTTAAAATTGAAATTATCTAAACAAAAAAGAAAACCTTCAAGATTTATTACTTGTCTTTCGATGTTTGAATTTTCATCACTCTTGATAATAAATGTATATTTAATATATCAAAAAATTTCTTTAAATAATTTAATGTTTCATTAAATTGTTCAATATCATTTTGTTCTATTTCTTCATTATTTTCTATTTTTATTAAAACCATTGTTGTTTCTACATCGATAATTAATTTCATTTTTTTTTCAATTAATATATGAATAAATCCTTGAAAACAATATGATGCAAATGATTGAATATTTTTTTCCATTAATAATTTTTCTCCTTTTTCTTCATAAAATATACATTTAAGAAGTTGATCAAGATAATTTAAATTTATTTTTAATTGATTTTTATTTGTTCGATCAATACTATCATTCCATAAAATATGATGTGTTTGACAAATATCTGTACGTAATTGTCTAACATATCTTTGAAATGTTTCATATAATGGATAATGTTGTTGATAAAATTTATCATTTGTAGGTGGAAATAAATATTCATTATTAATTAGATTTTCTATAGTTTCATATAAAATTTTTGCTTCATTTAAATAACCTTTTTTACATAGTTGTCGACATTCTTTAAGCAAAAAAAAACAAAAACAAAATAACAAGTAAACAAAGAAAATCTTTGAGTAATGTTTACCATGAATATGATTGTGTAATTGAACTAATTCTTTAATACCATTAATAAATTGATTTAAACGATGAACTTGATAATAATTAGAATTAACATGACGTGCATGATTTTCTAATTTTGAATAATCTTCAATTTGTTTAATTAATTCTTCACGTTTAACTTCTAATTGTTCACATTGTTCAATAAGTTTTGAAGTTTGAAAATTAATTTTATTTATATCTTGAGTTTTAGTTATATATAATTGATAAATTCGATTTTTTTTATCATCAATTTCTTGTTTTAAATTGTCTTTTAGTAAATCAATTTGATCAGAATTTATAGATTCTAAATAATATTTTTTTTTAAGATTAATTAATCAGTACAAACCAATTGTGAGGAGAAGGAAATAGTCGTAGATGAAAGAATAAAGTTTGTTTTTCTTTTTGTGATAAATCTATTCTCAGAAGTTTCTGTTTATAGATAGTTAAAATAAGCAATTTAAGAGTGTTAGCATGCTTAGCTATGCATATCTTATATTAGTTTTTCATTTAAGAATATTTACAAAAAGCTTGATTCAACTTCATTACGGTTAAGACAAAAAAAAAGATCGACAATGAACAGTGATGAGTACTTTTTCAAGCATTGACTTCTTGTTTTCACTGTTGAAGATAGCAAAAGTAAAATATGCTTTTATGTATAGTCCCTGTCGCCTTCGAAGTTTTTTTCAAAAAGGTTACTTATCAGTTCGAAAATCATTCAAATTCATACAGTAAGTTGAGAATAAATAAACATGAACGGCCTTATCAGGAAGACTCAAAAAGTCTAAAACACTTGTCAACGGATTCAACAAAATATGAAAATTTCAATTATTATTCTATGAAATATTTATTCAATTTAACAAAGCTATAGCTCTACATATCAATTCCTCCTATATCGACAAACGATATTGCTGAAATCTCGAAAAGTTTTAGACAGTCACTTCACATATTGGAAGATTCTAAAAATATGGAAAATAATTGGAATCCTAATTTTTTAAATATATAAGTAGTCGAGTGTGTTCCAATAACACTTAATCAATTAAATAAAACTTACGATTAAATGTTTTTATATCATTTTTTTCTAAAAAATCTGCCAACATCTAAAAAAACAAAAAAAATTCAAAATCTAAAAGAAATCACAATAATCTTTAAAAATCGAATTTGCGGCTTTTTTTATTTCTTTAAACAAGAAAAGTGTTATTACTATAAAGAAAAAAAAATCACCTAAAGGAATATTATAATCACAAGCAGAAATTAAAATAAATATCGGTTACAGTTTATTATTGGAAAGACTAGATTAATTTCACTGTTCACTTGTTCGATTTTCTAACCATTTTTTACATATATCATAAACAGCTGTTTGACCACTTTTTTGTGCATCATCACGAATTAAACGAACTTTATCTTCTCTTCCAAGACGAATAGCTATTAAATAAGCAGCACGTAATTTACCAACACCAATATAAACATTTATACGAGTATCATCATTTTTAATCATTTGAATTAATGTATCTTGTTCTCGACTCTAGAAAATCAAAAGAACATAAAATATTTAAAAAAAAAATAGAAGAATTCTATTCGTTGATTTTACTTGTTCAATATCAGAACCAGATTGTCGTATACAACTTTCAATAATATCATCATGTAATTTATTATCAGTATAACCATTTTCACGTACTAATTGAAGAAATTGTTGAAGAGAACGATAATCACGATGTTTACCAATTTGTTCAGCACATGGAATAAATACTTCTGTTGATGAATAATTCATTTCCTAAAAAAGAAAAAAATTTAAATATAAAATACAAAAATAAATAAATAAATAAATTTTACCTTGATTATTTTATTAATTAAATTGAATGCATTTGCCATTGTATCAGATATTGCTATTAAACCTAACATAAGTTTAAATATTGTTTCTTTTCCATCAAATACTGTTGGACAATTAATTAATATATTTGCACCATTTGTATTAAGTCGTTTTAATTGTGTATAAATATAACGAGTTATTTCCAATTGAAGTTCAACTTTATTTATAGTACTAAAATTTTAACGGAAAAGATATTATTCTTCAAATTTATATAAATATGAAGTTTTGAAAATAGCAAAGTTGTATACCCGATAAGTTTTTTTTTTTTTGATATTGCTTTATGTATCATCCACGAAATGACTATATTTAAAGATCTTATGTCATGCTAATTTAATAGACTTGTTATCAATTTCAAAATAAACAGAAGACTACATTAAGTCATTAAAGAGTATTAATAATTATTTGGTATAAATTATTTTCTTAGAAGAAAAATATATTAGAATCTGTAATCATCAATACAAAAAGGAAATGACTCTAAATCATAGTTGTTTAAAATATGACAGTTTGTCTTTAAGAATATACAAAAGTAAAAGTTATCTTGTATGAAAATGCTTAAGTTTTTTTTTCATAGAGTTCAAAATATATTCAAAATTATATTTCTGTCGGAAACACAATAAATTCCTTTTGATCTATTTTTATATTAATTTCAAAACTATGATCAAAAATATAAACAGTACAATATTGTATATTTTATGTTATTTCAATAAGTGAATCGATTTTTATAAAATCTGAGAATGAAAGAGAGAAAAGTCGGACATCGGAAATTTTTTATTCTAGACAATTGTTAATACTTTCTTACAGAGTCCTATGAAACAAACTTTTTTCTAGTCCCGAATCTCATTTTATTTTCAAAATCTTCCACAAGATTCTATTTTCGTAACATGTAGACTCAAATATAAAAACGATTTTTTTTTTGGAATAATTGATAGTTACGAAGTAAACAGGTAGTTTTATTATACAAAAGTAGAACGTGTTCTATTTCTTATTGAAGAAATCCAAAGTATTAATTTCATAGAAATACAATGAAATATGTGGAAACTTCATTTCGATCTTAATTCTTTTTTTTTTCTTACTATAACTTTCATAGTCATAGATTTCTTAATCTAAACAAAAACAAAATTTCAATACCTTTGTATTTTTATCATTGTTTGTTCTGTATCAATTTTTCCTTGTTGAAAACATTCTAAAGCATTCTGTAAATAATTTAAACGTTTTTCAAATAAATCTATATATGTTGTTCGATGTAAAGTAAATAATTTAATCGATGTAACTGCTGCATTTATAAAATCATTCATAAATAATTGTAATTGTTGTAATGAATTATACATTTCTTGTTCATATAAATATGTACAAATAAATTTTAAATGATGTGTAAATGTATTCATATTATTATGTGATAATATATAATTAAATAAATGTTTTAAATGATTACGTTTTAATAATGGCATATATATATGATCACGAAATATTGTTAATGAACATTTATATTCAAATGCTTGAGTATAAAATTCATGACGAATATAATAATCTAATAAATGTCCATCATCACTATAAGTTGTTAAATAAAATAAAATTTCATCTTGAATTGCTATTTAACAAAAAAAAAAAAAAAAACAATAAATTATTTTATTAGATTTAGAGAATTTCGAAAGAAAAAAAAATAATAACCTTTATTTGGTTTATCAAATAACTGTGGCATTGTTGCAAGACTATTAAGATATTTTAAACTAGTACGTGTTTGTCTTGCTTGTCGAATTTGTTGTTCAGTTAAATATTGACATTTCATAGAATATTTTAATGGAAGTGATGCTTCAAGATATGATATAATATCATTTAAAATTTTTTCTTGACTTAAACTATTACGTTGTTGTTGTTTTGATATTGAATCAGTTGTATCAGTATTTTTTTGTAAACATTTATCAAATTTATCACGAGCTTCAATATATTGACCAATATGAAGATAAGCTATTTAAAATAAATAATTAGAATTAAAGTTAAGAAAAATGTAGTAATGATAATTCGACACTTTTTCAATGCATGTTTGTACATAACGAACAATGAAATGATTTTGTTTTTTCTTTTTTTTTTAGATAAAAATAAATACGAGAAATTGAAAAACTTAAATAGTTCGAATATTTGATAGAAGCTTATGGTAATAATATAAATTGATCATTAAATTTCGATCTTCAAATGTTTTGTGATTATATTCTGAAAATTATCTTAATTTCTATAGAAAATTTGTAATTTATTCTGATTTTTCAACAGCATAGAATCTAAATATGTTTTTTTTTAATTCTGAGATTTTAGGTCCATCTATACTTTAGTCTCATCAGGTATAGCAACAGAAATGATCATCTATAGTTTATTTTTAACCTACAATTAATCAAAGCAGACTCTACTTTATTTAAGTTCAATAACGATCAAGGCGTCTATTTTTATTAAATAAACTATTGATTAGATTAATAACTGATGAAATTAAATAATTACCCATTCCCCATTGAAACCAAATTGTTTGTGTATCTAAATTACATCTTGTTGAAATATCCATTGCTAATTGATATCTTTCATCATCTAATAATTTATTTCGAATTTTTCTTAATGTATCTTGTTGTAAAAGATCATTTAAAATTGGTAATGAACAATTAGCCATATTTAAACGATTTAATATATCAACAAGATTATTATATATATCACATGAATTTATTAATTTTTGTTGTTCACCTAATTGTTCATCATTTATAGTACTTGTCATTAATTTCATTTTAGCAGTAAATAAAAGATTTTTTATTATATTTAATACTAAACCATAATCAATTTCATTATTACGTTGTTTTGTTGATAATTGTTCAGATAAATATTCACATAATTTTATTAATAATTTACCACATTGATATTGATCAGAATGTAATTCAATTAATGATAAACATAATGATATACTTGGTGATTGATCATAATGAAAATCATTACGTATTATTTCATCAGTTGATGTTCCTGTTAATTGATAATGAACTTGATCATTAACAACAGGTATTGTTGGAATATCATCATTATCTTGTTTTTGAGTTAAATCAGTTGATCCTCGATGATTGAATTTATTTGTTTTCAATAATGGACTTGCTGTTGAAAAACTTGAACTTAATAGAAAGGATTGATCTTCTCCATCACTTGAACTATTACTAACAAGTGATGTACCTAATAAAAGATCATTTGATTTTAATTCAGAGTGTCCATTTTTTTTTAAATAAACTTGACTTATTGATTGTCTTTTAAATGTACTGATTGATCTTGAAGGGCTAGAATTAAAAATAAAAACCGATCAAACTAATCAACTATTAAGAATCATACAGAATACTTTTTGTCTATTTATTACACTCAATGAAATTAATTTTTTACAACTCATATCTAATTAAAATCGAATCTGAAACTCGTTAGTTTTCTTCATATTTAATTATTCATTATTCTAGTCATCAGTGAATTGTCAAGAAAAAGAAATCTCAGTTCCTTTGTAAGCTTCTGTTCGTTTGATAAGGAGTCATAAGATTACAGAGGATTGATATACTCATAAATGAAATATGCCAAATTATCGTTAGTGTTTTTGATGATACTATATTTTCTTGTTTTGAAATGGAATCAATCAATGCATAATATAGAAAGTAGAGAATCTCAAAAAATGCTTGAATTAACGGACAAGAGCAGGTCTATAGATTGTATAATTTTCAAGGCTACTGTCGTTTCCTTTTAACTGATGATCTTAAAAAGATTATTCATTTTTTAATAGATGGTCTATTTTGTAGACTACATGTTTTTGATACAAAACTGTTGGTAATCTTTTCTTCTTATTAACTATTAAATTCTTCTCTGTTGGATTATTTATATGTATAAATAACATTAAAAAGAAATGAAAAATGATCTTGAACACTATAGGCATGTCTTGATTCTAATCAAGAATAAAAATTAAAATAGATTATAAAATTAAAATTTACGGTCGAAAATTTTCAATTTTTTTTATTGGAATATTTGTTTCTTGACGAGTATTTATTGTTGGTGTTTGATTATTTCGCATAAATTGATAACAATCTTTACATGTACGTTCAGGACGATTTTTAATTATTGTCAGATTTTGTGAACATGTTTTACATACAACACGACCACAACGACGACAATGATGACGACGATTAAACATTGAAAAATATGATTCATTACAACACATACAAATAGCTACTTCAGTATCGGATATCCATAATCGTCTTGAAGGTATAGCTGCAGGAACAATAAAATCAGGTGGCTGTGTTGATGATGATGATGTTGTTTTCATTGTTTGTTGAGGCTGTTCATTTAATTGAGGTCGAGTAGATAATGATGTTGATAAATAATCAAAAAATGATGATGTTGTTTGTTGCGAAGATTTTATTGGAATTGAACTTGTCAATGGTGAACTATTAATGTTCGGTGATGATGGTGTTATTGATGATGATAAATGTTGATCAATATCTGTTGCAACTGAAGATGATATAGTACCTTTAGATGACATACGTTGACGTATACTATTGAATATAGTATTTGTACCAGAACTATTATTTCGACGACCTAATGGTGATATTTCTTGAGTATTTTTATTTTGATTTATATTTGAAGATGAAACTAATGATGGACGATGAGTTTCAGTTTGCAGACCAGATGAACCTGGAGTAATAGGTCTAAAGAGTATTAAAAAAACAAGAATTTTGATTATCCGATAAAAATTCAATTCAGTTATGAAAATATGCCTTTAACCTAAACGTCAGAAAATGTATATAAATAAAAATGTTTTTAGTAAAATATTTATTCGATTTTAAATCATTTAGACATTAGTTTATAGAACTTGATATAAAACATTCGTTCACACATCCTACTAGATACATAATGACAATGACTATGAGAAAGTTAATTGTATTAGAAAGATTATTCATATTCATAGATTTGATTTAATACACGAATATGTAAAATCACTAATGACATATCCAATAGAGAATTAGAACGATTTGAAACATTTTCTGTTCGAATAATGTTCTTATAAGATATCTACATCCTTCAGTATGACATATTTGAACCATTTCAGGCAAAATGGGATACACCTTTCATTTGACATTGATTCTTTACAAAAGTTATTTTTCTGAATAAGTTTTTTTTAGCATAGATTCTCTAACCATATGAGAGAACTCTACGGTATGAACAACATCTACGATGAAATTTGAACTAAAATGCATAAAATCAACATCGATGTGATTTGTCAGAATATCTAGAATAATTTAATATATAAAAATTAACTCCAGAAAAGTTTCTTATCCCGAAACATACGCTTTTTTTTTTAATTTTACAAAGTCACATTACTAACAAATGATTTTGTTCATATACTCTTTTGATTTGAAGAACTTTTAAACTAGTATCTATTTTTTATTATAAGCTATATAGTATTTGAAATAAGATTTTCATATTTTGTTTTTTTTTTTGCATCTTTTCTATTTACTTATGTTCAATATTTGTTTTTTCTTCATTTTGTTGTACAACATTTAATTGTACACTTTTCTTTGTATAAAATTCAATAAGTTCATCAATTTGTTTAATATTAATATTTTCTAAAGAATATTTTTTAATTAAAACTTTTAATGTTTCAATTGTTAATTTAGCTATATCAATTGAATTATTCATTAATAATTGTTCAAATATAAGTAATGGTTGTCCAACTAATTGTACATATGAATCAGTTTGTTCTAATGGTACACAATTAAAAAATAAAGCTAAACCAGTAACTAATATACATAATTTTGATCTTTCATATGGTTCTTGAAAAAAATTTGAATTTTCTTCAAAATGTCCTAACATATGTTGTATAAGACGAAATTTAATAAATAATTTTGAAAATGGTATTGATTTTGTATATATAATTAATGGTTTATTTGATAAATCTTCAATTAAATCAGTACATAAATGCCATTTATGATTTTGATTTTTAATTGTATCAATAATTTGTAAAATTTTATTACCATTACCAATATTTTCTTCTTTTAATAACCAATGTATATGTTCTTCAACTAATTTTAATCTTACACGATCAATTACATTTTCATCAACATAATTATTTAATAATGTTAACCATTTATGTCCCATATCAAATTGTTTTTCATAAATAAACATATCAACAACAGCTAATGGATCACGTTGTGAATGTTCTTGTGCATGTTGCCATGTTAAACATTTTGATGATGTTTTTTTTATAGCCATATCTTCAATTGATATATTTAATTGATTATCATATTTAGATATTTTTTCCATACATTTATTAAATTGTGCTAATGCACCAAGACATAAAGTTTTATAAACATACATTATATTTAAACGTTCTTGAATCCATAATGTATAATCTTGATGTGATTTTTTACATGATGTTAAACATAATTGAAGTAATTTTAAACATGTTGGACCATCAAAACGTGGTAAATATGTTAATGTTGCATGTATTAATAAATGACAATCATGAATTCGACGTAAATAATTATATGCATGATCAGGTGCAGATGTTTGTTTAATTAATGTTAATAAAGCAAGATCACGTAAAATTTGAAAATATGGTGAATGTACAATAAATGATGGTAATAATGAATCAAATAATTCAACAATTTCAATATATTTTGAATTATTCCATAATAATGAACATAAATAAAGAAGTAAATCATATTGATATGTTAAATCATTTAATACAATTGAACGAAACCATTCATCACCAATTGATGATGTTGATTCAATTAATGTTGGTGATAATAATAAACTTGTAAAATAATTTTTTAATGGAGTTTTATCACTTTCAATTGATTGATTATGAACTATAGATTGTACATAAATTTGAAGAATTTGTCCTAAAGCAGGAGATTTTTCTTGAACAAATGATATTGTACGAGAATCAATTAAATGACTAGGTAAATTTGTTGTTTGAGGAAGAAAATCAATTGAAGATAAAGATAATGTTGTAATTGTTGTTGATGATGGAAGTGAACTTGTACGACGACGACGATTATCTTCATGTTGTTCCAAATGTGATGAACATAAACGATAATCGAAACTTATAGCAAAATCATTTTGTGAAGGAATTATTTCAGTAGTTATTGTATGATCTTCTAAAAAGAAAAGTTCAATTCTCTGGATAATGTGTGTTAATAATCTAGGATGAAGAATACGAAATTCGCATCATAACTGCATTCTAACAGTTTATTTGGTTCAATATTATGATTATTTATTTTCACGATCGTTTGTTGAGTAAAATAGAGAATGTATATGGCCTTCGTATTCGAAGACAATAAAATGAGGGACATTTTTTTTTTCTTAATTTCTATAAGTCATTTTATTCCTACGTATATGACAGGATAATATTTGATTGTAATACTAACGGCAAAACTCCTTCAAATGTCAAATCGCTTTTGTGATTAAGATGATGTTTGTGTACAAAGTTTGAAATTGAATGTCGATTTTTCACATGATCTGAAAGAGCTGACAAATTTTATTGAAAAACATAGTAAAATTTCAATATCTCGAGAACGAAGGTTCGGAAAACCAAACGATTCTAGACTTTTCTCTATTACTCATTAGTGTACTCATCAAATGAACATCATCTCGATCGAAAAGCGATTTGCCATCTGAAAAGATTGAAAACGACTGTATTTGATTGATCTAGAAAGACTCTAATTTTTCGATTGAAACTCGAAAATCATAAATTTCGACTGAAATATTCTTTCAAAAAAACTACTTTGACAAATTTCACACTTAAATCATACATATTTCTTATCTTACCATTCGTTGTACATAGAACATCATTATATGTTGAATATTCTGCAATAAATTTAATCATATTATCATTAGTTTGATCAAATAGATTATGAAAAATATTTGGTAAAATAATTTGTATTGAATTATCTGTTTCATTTATTTTAATTAAAATACATTTATCAATAAAATCTCTTGTAGAACATTGTAATTGTTCATTAAGTAATTCCGGTGTTAATATCATAAATGGTGGTGATGAATAAATACAATCATTTAATATTAAACCTATTCGAATATGTTGATAATTATTAATTATTGGTGCATATTGATAAAATGGTCCTTTTGGATCTAAACTGAATTGAAGTCCATCAATAAGAATAGTTTGTTTTAATATATAATATTTTATATCATATAATGATATTTGTTTAAGTTGTCCAATATCAATACGTGTTGTTAAAAAAAATAAAAGACGTTCAAGTTCATTACGAAATATATTTGTTGTTGTTATTTGTGTTAATTTTGTTCGAATAAGTTCAATATGAGATATAATTAATAGAAAATTATATAAATTTATAAAAAAACATATACGTTCTTCATTTGTTATTAAACGATCAAGATCAAGATATGCTAATAATGGTAATGCATTAATTATATCATTATAATGATCAAATGAAAGTAATTTTTCAATAAGTTCAATTGTCATATGATTATAACCAGATGATTCAATTATTTCTATTTAAATAAAAACAAAAAATGATTCAAACAAATTTCAGTTCAAATCTACCCGTAAAAACAATTATTTTTGTTTCAGAGTAATCAAAAGATAGTCTATTTATATCCTTTCAGAATAAATGAAATTTTGATTTATTGGTATTTTGTTGCATTCAAATAAATTAGAGAAACTGACGATATCAGATCAAACAATTTGAAGTCTGTAATCTATAGGACACTATTTATTTTTCTTTTTTTTACTGTAAACGAGTAACAATCGATAAGTAAGTATATCTTCGTATATCAATAGATTATTACATATTCCGAAAAGCCTAGAGACGAATGAGACCATTCTTTTTTCTTTTGGTCCTAACTCTATTCTCAATAAAGAAAAAGAATTCGTTGATTAACTTACTTTTAATACAATCTAATAATTTGGTTAATAATGTTCTAATAAATTTTTCTGGATGTTCATTAAATGTATTTGGGTCAGTTTGAAAATCATCTAATTTACTTGCAAGACGTTTAAGATATATCGATCGTCGTAAATATTTTTTTGTACTTTCATTTGATAATGAAGGTGATAATTGTTGTAAATGAGATTGATTACAATTTAAAAAAATATCTAATGGTTGTTGTTGTAATAATGTTGTACGTCTATTTGAATATAATGTTGATGATGTTGTTATTGTTTTATCAACAAATAATGGACGAATTATATTAAGTGTAACAGCAAGTGATATATCAACATTTAATTTTGAAGTCATTAATTGTAATTGTGCTAAATCAATATCACTTGATCGTGCAACAATACGATGAATAATTGATAATGGTGAATGCATTAATAAATCAGTATCTATTAATAGATCTGGTAATGGAAATTTTTCAAGTAATATACGAAAATTTTGTAAATATATATGAAATATTGAAAAATAATTTATATTTGAAGAATAAGAAGGTCCTTTTGTTTGATTAGAAGAATTCCTAAATGAATAAATGATTTATTTAGGAAAATGAGAAAAATTTTCGATAAATATATATATATATATTACAAAAGAATAACATTTTTACTTGATCTACAGCTTTGAAATAGTACTACTATATATTTAAAACATCAAGAATAGAAGAACACATCTTAGTTTTCGAAATTTGAATTTTCAATTTTCGTAAATGTCTACGGGATATATATTCCAAATCTTTTGTCATTCGACTATTTTACAGTTTTACTAATTTCGAAGTTGAAAAAGAAAAACATAGCTATAACTAATCATATTCAAACTTAGTTTTGCTATACTGTAGGCATGTTCAAAACTAGTGTCATTAGAAAAAAATGATTAGGCTTTTGAAAATGAATCTTCCGATAGATATTCAAAGCGTTTAGATGAAAACAGTTAACCTTCAAGTTTTCTCTCTCTCTAAATAAAATTAATTTCGCTCATATTGACTTTAAACAATTTTCTGTAAATGATGTGTCCTATGCTATATTTTTCAAAATTGCTAAAAGCCAATAATATACAAATTTTTTGTTTAAAATATCTCAATTGTCTTTGTTTTGCTATAATTACCTAATATATGTAATTAAATCTAATTTAGATTGTGGATCATTTTCAAAAAATTCACCAGTCATTTTAACTTGTTGTTCAATTGATACAGAATTTTGTTCATTTATATAATATTTTCGACAATGTTCATCAAGTCTTTTATAATATTGTATAGTTTTAGTTGCTTTTATTCCATCTAATGGTATAGTAACATCAAGTAATAAATCATAAAATGAACCATTTGATGAATTAGCTAAATTTGTATAATTATTAATCATTTCATTTAATGTTTTTATTCTTGTTGTTGAATTTTTATTATTTGTTATATTATGTGATGATGTATTTGATGAAAATAATGGACGTGGTAATGGTAAACGATGTTGTGCCATATCAAGTAATGTTTTACTTATTGTCATTGTTGGTGCATTTATTGCTAAATCAAATAATGTTAATGATACAAAATATTCAGGATCAAAATAATTTGATGTTGGTAATGTTGATGAAACAATTGATGATTGTGCAGCTTCTAATAATGAACTAATATCATTTTGTAATGATGAATTACCAAGAGCTGATGTTGCTAAATTAACTAAACCAGCTAAAGCTGACTTTGATGATGAATTATCAATAGAAGGACTTGATGATGATAATGATGATGATGATGAATATGATGTTGATAATTGATTAGCTGTATCACGAAATAATTTACTAAATTTTGCTTCAACAGCAAGTGGATGATCTTGCATATTAAATAACTAAAAAAAGAAAATTTGTTTTTTTTTTGAAAACTAAAGTAATTAATATAAGATTTACTCGAATAACTTCATTAGCTTCAGTAATTTTGCCTTCTTTCAAACAAATAGCCAATAAATTATCACGAGTAGAAAGAATTTGTGATACTAATATTGATGTTCTTTTACGTTGATTATTCGTTGATGATGTTGATGTACCACTAAATAGATCATTTATTCTATGTATAATTTGATAAATAGAAAGATTTTCTTTTCTTTTTTTTGTACCTGGATGTACTACTCTCAGAATGACGTGATCGCCGTTTTCGTCGATGAGAATGTCGACGAACAGCTTAAGAAAGGTGCAAAAAAAAAAACTTAATATAGTGGACGAAAATAGTTTGATAACTTACGAGTGGGAAGAATTAAATTTTTTATGGTAGGATTAGAAACTAAACTATCATCATTATCTTGTCCATCAATTTTATTTTCTTGTGTTGATGATTCAATTGTATTAGTTGTTAATAATTGATATCTCCATAATGTTTCACTAACAGTTGTATTTAATTTTGTTGCTCGAATTGTAAATTGTTCATTTGTATTAATTGAATAACCTTGAAAACATTTATCTAATAATGTTTCAGATTCTACTGTAGTACGATCTGTTGCTTTATCTTTTATTTTTTGATAAAGTGTACGAACTTCTGATAATTGATCACGAAGAAATATTAATAATTTATAAAGTACTTGTTGATCAATTAATAATCCTGAACGATATATAGAGTAATGTTGTGATGCACTAACTGAACTCATTGAACTACTACCGATTGATATATTATCATCATTATTTTCATCAATATCATTATCAAATTTTCTAATTGATATTTGAGTTTTAATACTTGCATTTGTTGATGTATGAAAACTATCATTTGTTAAATTACTTTGTATAGATGAAAAAAGTTTATCTGATGGTGATATAGAATTTGATGTTGTATTTATTGATTGTTCAATTATTTCAATTGATTCATCAGTTTTTAATTCACTTTGTTGAATAAATATAAGTGAAAAAATATTTTCTAATAATTCAAGACGAAAACGTAATGGAAATATTTGATTTAAATATGTACGTGTTATTGAAAATAAATCATTATCAGTTTGATTAGCATCATTATTATTATTATTATTATCAGTAGATGATAAAATACGTTGTACAACACTATTAATTGAGAGATAACCAAGAAATATCATTGAAGCTGTAGTTTGAGGTAAACGAAGTAATTCAATGACATTTGTTGGAGTATCAGTAAAACGAACACCTATAAACAATTATCAATATTTAAGTTTATATAAGAAGATAGAGGCAAAATAGACATATAATAAATTTTAATTCGGATTTGATCATCTGTTCGATAATTAAACTTCAAGATTCTTCAATACTATTTAGGTTTCGTATAATTTTTTTTTCTTCATTATTTAAACTTTGGACAATCTTTCATTTTACGTCTATTTCCATTCAGTAATTAACTGAAAATTGTTGAACTTAAGCTCAATTGTTTGGATGCGGTGCAAAACTCTCCCCTCTCCCCCTGTTCATAATCTAAAGGAATAGTTAGTTGCTGAGTCTTGAAAAGAACTCATGAAATCATACACATATATAGGATTATTTCAGATTCATTTGAAACAAACGATAAACATCAGAAATATTCACATAATCCCAAGGCGTCCTGTAACATATCAGATACGGAAAGTACGTTATCAAACGCTCAAATGCTTGATTATGATTTAGTAGCAGTCATGAGTATAACAACTTTCTTTCCTAATTTTCAATAGAACTAATAGATTTTAAGACATCAGAGAAGGCTCGGGTATTCACGTTACAATCTTTCTATCGGATGCACTTAATTATATCGAAAACTTATTGGAATTTGAGTACAAATCATAAGAATCACAGCGAGAGGTTTCTTCTACTTAGAAATTTCTTAATCGAGTTCAAATCCTCTCAAAATTTTAGATCTATTTGTTAAGCATTAATATCCTCATCAGAGATGTGAACGATATCAGTAGACCAATCGTGAAAAATTCAGTTCGATTCCATTTCTGATTCTCATGATCTTTTATCTAAACATTCTCAATTAAACAAAATCTACCTTTTTTTTTTCCTTGTTTTTCATTATCATCATCAATATCTATTGATGTTTTTTGTAATTTTTCTAAAATCTCAGCTGAATCAATAGTTTGTATATCTAAATATCGATGCATTAAAGATAATGGTGAATTTGTATGTAATAATGCTAATAAATCCGACATATTCGGTAAAGGTGATGCACCATCATGATACCTTCAAATAAAACAACAAAAAAAGAAAATACTTAAAAAAAATTAATTTCAAAACGAAAAAAAAAACAAAAAAAGAACACAACAGAAGACTAAATCAATTGAATTTTATCTAGCAATACAAACTTACAGATCAATTCTAATAAAACAAAAAAACAGAAAAACAAATTCAAAATATAAACTAAAAATAAGAACAAAAATATTTTTTTTTAAACTTACCGTCGAACATTATATAACCATGTTATAAATTCAATATGAGATTGAAATAATTGTAAACATTTCATTAAGAAAGAACTTTTACTTCCTAATGAATTAATTGAATCGTGTAAGACAATTGCATCATTTATTGTTCTTACATGTGTCCATGCAAGAAGAAATATATAAAGATGTAATGATGATAATTGTTCAATATTTAATAATTGATCAAATGATGAATATTCACGATTTTGTACCATTAATATTGAATCATTCTTAAGAATTATATATAAATAAGATAATAATAAAAAAACAAACAAATCAATTATAAAAACTATTTACTTACTAATACACATGATATTAAATCTAATTTATTTTCAATTAAATATAAATAAATTTCTTTCCAAGAAAAATTTTCTTTTTCAAATGAATTTTTTTTTAAAAAATGTATTATAATAGTTTCATTATTTAATAATTCACGACGATATTCATTTTCTAATTCACTTATTAAACGTGTTAAATTAATATTATTAAATATAGAACGATATAAAAATTTTAAATTAAATAATTGTACATGATTATTATTTGCTTCTGTTGCATAAATAACAATTTTTTTTAATGTATCATGCATCATTAAACGAAATTCATTTGTATCACATGTATAGAAATGTAATGAAAGAAGTAAATCAATAAGATTTAATTTTTGTTGTTCATTATTTAAATTTTTTAATTGTTGTAAACATAAATCAAGTGCACGTTTATGAATTTGTATTAACCATACATGTATTGATGGAATTGATGGATAAAGATAATAACGAATAAAACTATAAACACGTGGAATTTCATGTAACCATAAATCAACAAGAAAATCAGCCATAGACTCAGTTAGAAGAGTTGATGATATATCATCAGTATTAGTATGAAGACGATCAAATTCCTTAAATTACAATTAAATGAGAAGAAAGATAATATATATGTAGATGATCATTAAGTATACAAAGATAAGAATTTCAAATGAGAACTTTATAAATGTTAGACTATATCTTATATAAGCTAGATTTCATATTCAATGTACGATATATTTGTTAATTTTGGTTATTGTCAATAGTTGCACGTGTTAGTTCAAAACTAATTTATTATTTTAGAAAACTACACATGAGCTATATTCTTTTCAACTACTTGTTAAAGAATAGGAATTTTTTGAAATGTTGTTCATGAATCTAGATTTCTTCGTCTATTCTATACACTGAATAATAATGTAGTGTCTCTGTAAGCAGTTTACTTCATTAATTTACAAGACTTATTTTTTTCGAGACTTATTATGAGTTTGTATATTTATTTCAAGGTAAAACAGAGGTTTCGAGAGTAAAATCTCATTCTTTTAGAGTGCATATTAGATTGAATAGAAGAATGTCATAATCAATGTTAAAAAATAAGTTCACATATTAGAATAACTTTTCGGAAAATAAGTCTAACATCAGTAACCTTATCTGAGAATAAAACCTAAATAGTATTTTGTGTCGTTAATAATAATCGAAATTTGTTGAACAAGACTACAGGGTATGTCAAAAGTCCACCATGAAAAGGAAAACGTGAATATCTGTCAAACAATTGAAGCGCTTTATAAATTTTTTTAATAGTATGATAGTGTGTTCGTTGAAGATTGATTTTTTATTATTTGGTCTAAAACAAATACTCAAAAATGATTACTATCGTCTGAAATATATAAATTCATAGAGTTCGAAATATTTGAAAAAAATCCTAGAGAACATTTGTTTTTGAGTTAATTTATTTTTGTTATTGGTTCTCATTTTGAATTTAACTAGACCTTTATGTCTGGCTCTTGAACAATTAAACAAGGTTTTTGTAGTTTTTTCTAGAAAATTCTGGTTTTCCATACGACCACATCGGGCCAACTGGTCGATTGTTTTCATTTTTGAACTTTCTATCCGAATTTATAGAGTTCTAGATACCAGCATCCCGGTTTTGGATCTGAACTTTTATGTATTTCTGTCATTAAAAAAAAAGAGCCAGATTTTTGAAAAAAGCTTAAAACCATTTCTGAAACATAGTCCTGATGTGGTTCTATAGAAAATTAGTGTCTCCAAAGAAACTGTGAAAACCTTGTTTAAAATTTTTTTTCCTCTAACACATGTCTTCTTCTTGAAGGTGCTCTATCCGTGGTAAAAATCTCATGTAGATCCATTGTAGTTCTTTCAAGAACCAGAAAGAGAGGGGTACCCTTAAATAAGAGCGACTTTGTCCGAAAACAAAGACTTTTCTTGATTATTAGTGTTCTCTAACATTGATATCAAAATTACATAATCATAACTCAGTTTTGTGAATTTTCTTCATAAAATTATTGAACAAATTATACTCGCATGTCTTCATTGGAAGATACGCAGTCATAATTCTGAAGTGATGCAAGCTGTTGTATCAGCTAGAAACATTTGTTGTCAATCTGTTACTCTAATAATTTCTCACAATACGTCATATGTTTGTGTATCAAACTGGCATTGTATTTTTCGTTTTGAAATTAAAACATTACTTAGATTTAACAATTAATAGAACTATTTGGATTCTAATATTTGTAGTCATAGATATTTATCGTAAAATGGATAGAATAATACTTCGACGAACATACTATCATGTTATAAAAAAGTTCTATAAATTCCTTGAATTAATTATAAGATATTCACGTTTTGTTTTTTGTACGATGGACTTTTGGAATATTCTGTATAATCGGAATTTTTATTGACTTAAGTATTTAAACACAAACAAGTTCTCGAAGAATCTATTTTCTTAAGAATGATCACATAACTCCATATGATTAGTAAAATCATTAGACGAAACTAATTATTTTCGTTTTGACTTACTTGAACAACTTGTGCACTCGGTTGGATATCACCAACAACCAAAAGAAATTTATACATTGCATCATATTTAAGTGTTTCAAGTATTGCCTACAAAAAAAAAAAATTCCACGTTTTTTTCTCATTAATTTTCTTTTTAAATTAAAAAAATATTCTCCTACCACATCTAAATACTGTTTAACTCGACATTCTTCCAATAATAATAAAGCAAAATGAAACGGGGTTGGTACCGCTTTTGATCCCGTACTATATAAACAAAATAATAATAATAATAATAAAAATCCATCATTTAATCTATCGTTCTTCTTACCAATAAGCAGTTGGATTTCGAATAATATCCATTAATAATTCTTCTAAATTTGTATTAAGTTGTAAACGTTTATTAAATAAAAGTTGTAAACATAATCGACATAATTCCCATTGTCCCAAATAAACATGATTACAAAAAGCTTGATATAATTGTTCATTATTTCGTGCTTCAACATCAAAAAATTCATGACGAATTTCTAAAACACTCATTTTTATCTAGAAATAATGACAAAGAAAAAAAAACATCATCAAGAACAAAAAACATAACTGCTTGAGATAATGAGAATAGAAACAAAAGAGAAAAATAAAACACAAAGATTTTTCTTTTTAAAATCTTTTTGAACTTGTCCAACCACTAAATAATCCTTTTGATTGTTTTACAGATGAATTAACTGCTGCTGCTGCTTGCTGTTTTTTTTGTTCTTCTAATTCCTAAATTCAGCAAAACAAAACAAAAATTCTTTTGTTTTCATTACAAAAAAAAAAAATAATTACCAATAATTTTTGTTGTCGAATTAAAAATGCTTCAACAGGATCTGGCTCTTGATTGTAATGATCAAGTACATCACGTACATCATCAACACCACTCACCGCAATCACTATGGAGAGAAAAAAAAATCATTAATAATTATTTATAAAAATTAAATAAAACAAACTTCGAAGAAATGAAGCTAAATGAAGTAATTGTCTATCATCATCTTCACCATTCCATTGTTTTAAACGATGTAAAGCATTTCGTGGTTGTAATTGATACGCTTTTTCATCCCAATCTAAGAAAATTATTTTTTTTAAATCACGATTAAGACATGATAAATCCTACAAAAAAAAAAATTTTAAATTATTTTAATTCAATAAAACAAAAAAGAAAAAGAAACCATGTGATTACTTTAACATGAGTGCCATTTAAAAAACGAGTATTTTCACGAAATAAACGATACATTATACGATGGTCAGTATCCATATTTTCTATAACAGATGCTGCACCCTAGAAGAATAATCATTGTAATTTAATCTTGTTTTTTTTTTTAATAAAAGTTTTAAACTTTTAAGAAAGAAATTTTTTTCATATGACAATGAAATAAATACATAGTTGATCATTAATAATTTAAATACGAAAAATTTCTCAGATGACTCATGTCGACTGTCTTTAGCATCATGAAATAAATGAAAATATTATATTTACTGCGTCATTTTATCTTACTCGAGGTGACTAAATAGAGAGAACAAATAAAAATCGACTTATCTTATCTTTGACTGTACTATAATTTCTTTGTTAAAATTTAATTAAAATAAACTCTAATTATTTCTAATAGTTCGACATTCGTACAATTGCTCGAACGATGTGTTATTTTTACATGAAAAATAATCAATATAATATATATTCAGTCTTGTGTCAATAATATTCAAATTTTCAATTTACAAGTGTATACGGTCTGTTTAAACACATTCATAAACTACTTCGAATTAGAGTGAAGGACAAAGACGTTCTCTATCGCTATTCAATTCAGTCAAGTCATAGTGATATACTTGATAAGTCCTAGCCTCGATTTTGATTGATGTGTCCAATACCAAAGATTTTATTTCATAGTGCAAAGATATGTTTAGGTCAAATTAAATGTCTCGTTGCCAAACTAACAAATTCATAATATGATATTATCCATGGTGTACATCGAGTGGAATAATTAATTTTTTTTAGATATCTACAGTGTATGTCAGATACCCACAAGTCAAAATTTTAATAATATTTATTTTTCTTTTTTCATGATGACTGGCTAGAGCTAGTTGCGTTGCAAAGGTAAAAGTGTGTGTCAAAAACAAAATTAATGAAAAAAGGTCAAGGTACCATTATTTTCAAATATAAGGAAAATAGACAAAAAAAATGCTCACTTTTATGAAATCTTTTAAAATTTATTTTGAAGTTTGAAACACACTATCTTACATATATTGTAAATATCTAAAAAATTCCTTAGTCTCGTTCAGTACACATCATGAGCAGTTCATATTTTAAATTTGTTAGTTTGAGATTGAGACTTCTAATTTGACTTGAACATGTCTACTATTCTTTACTAATAGTACAAAACTCAAAAAAGAAGATCAAAATATGTTGCATTTCTTAATTCGACCCATCAAGTATTAAGAATTTATGTGAATACAATTTGAAAAAAAAAGACTTATCTCAAGACCGTAATCGAGATCTTTATCTCTTTCTCTCTGTATTTAATATTAAAAAATAAATAAATAAAAAAACTCGTTTATTGAAATATTTCAATTTTTTCATACCCATGGTGCTTCTTTTGTATAAATAACAACTTCATAAACTGGATAACCAATTTCTTTTATAAAATAATCTAATCCTGGTCGTTTTTTATATCTCCATCCTGTATTATAAGCCCATTCTGGATGTAATAATATTCCTGACATTTCAATAACTAATGTATATTTTGGTTGATATGGTGCTGGTAATGGTTCAGGTAAAAGTTTATCACTTGTTGGATCTTTAATTGTTTGCCAATAATTAATAACTTCTCGAAATGATCGTTTAATATATTGTTGCCATGTTGGTAAATTTGAATATCGATCTTGTATAATATTTCCATTTTCATCAATTTGTGGTGCACCCCAAACAAGTATAACATAACCAATTGTTGAAAATAACCATATACCAAGAAAATATCCTGTATATTTTAACATACGTACATCCCAAGCTGCTTTAGCTTCACGTTCATGTTTTTCATCATCAGTTTGAGTTTTAGAATATTTTGGTTCTGGTGATGTTTTAGAAAATATAAATGGTGTTTTACTCTCATGTTCACCCATTAATGAAGATAATTTCGATGGTGATGGTGATGATGATGATGATGATGATGGTGGTGGTGGTGAAGAATTAGTATTTGTTGTTTGTTTTTGTTGTTGAAAATGCAAAGCAGAAAATGTGAATGTACGATTATTTATTTTAATTGTCTGTCGTTCAAAAAGTTTTAATGAACGAGAAATAGACCAACAATTCTGACAAGATATTCTTGATCGTAATGCAGAAAACATTCTTTTTTTCTTAATGTAATCTGAAACACCTTCTTTAAATAAAATTAAAAAAAAAGAATAATCATTCAAACTATAGAACGTTTTTTTTCTCTTAATATAATCAAATGTTAAAAATAAATCATCATGATTGAAAACAAAAAAAGGAAAAAAAAAGAAAATTAATGCTTTGAAAGACTTTTTTTTGTTTCTCATACATATGAATTAATAAGATGTTATGTATAAGAAACTTTTCCATTGTTTTCATCAGGTGATACTGGTGAATCGACTACGGCATTTATTGTGGCATCTGTTTTACCATCAAGTAAATCTTGTTTAGCACGTCGTGCAGATGGTGAATCATTGAGTATGCCTTTCTTTATTGAATTATAGACGTAAAGAAATGCTGCAGCTAATAATGCTATTTCAAGACATATGATAAAAAATACTTCAAGAATAAAATAACCATAACTATCAAGAATTAAACCAGTAAATATATTCCTTAAAAAAAATAAAAAGAGAAATTAAATATTTGAAAAACAAAACAAAAACTACATACATTACAGCTAGACCTAGATTTTGAATTGATTGCATAAATCCATAGGCTGTACCTAACATTTTTTTAGGAACAAGAAAAGCAACCATTGGCCATAATGATGCAGCTAATATTGAATAAGATATGCCCATTAAAACAAGAGGTACAACCGGATGAACAAAAAGAAATGCAAGAAGAGCATGAGCAAATATTGTTGTTGTTATACTGCCCATTAACCAATAAAGATTTCTACCAGTTTTATCAACAACATAACCAAGTAGTGGTGAAAGAATAGCTGACCTTAAAAAAAGAAAAAAGAAAATTTTCCTATTATTTCTTCAAATATGCTCATTTTTGAACATACATAAAATAGACTAAACTATTGCACGCATTCGACCAAGTAGGTGATAAATTATATTTCGATATAAAAAGTAATTGTGCAGCAGCAATAAATGGAAATATTGCAACATAATAAAATACACAAATAATAAAAACACAATAAAGTGAAGCTGAAAAATGTCGAATATCTAAAATCCAAAAAAAAAAAAAAAAAATTACAATCATATTTATCATTATTTTATTGAAACATACCGCGAATATGAAATTCATCAGCTAGAAAATAATCATAAAAATTAAATTAAAAAGAAAAAAGAAAGAATTTATATTCAAACCTGGATCATGTGGATGATCTTCTTGTATAACTTTTCGTCGTCGAATATCTAATGTCCAAAGAATAAGTGCACATACAAGTGAAACAAAACAAGTTGAAACAGCAATTAAAAGTGTTGTACCAATACGATGTGGACCAGTTGAATCTTTATCAAGTGAATCATAAATTCGATGAATTGTATTCATATTTACTAAACTTCCCTTAAAAATATAAAGAAATCTTGTTTTTTTTTTTTTTCTTTCCTTATCATATAAAATTAATTCTACATACAACACGAGCAAATGAAAGTTGTAAACCAAATACAAAATTCAATTGTTTTCCAAAAAACCATGAAACAGCATATGCATTTTGTGCACTTGATAATGATTCACCACCAATACCAAATATAAAACGACCAGCATTCATAAGCCATATTAAACGAAAATAACCACCAAAACCAAAAATAATTTGTCCAACAACAATAAATGCACAAAATATAGTTGCACCACGAGCTACACCAAGCCATTTATCGATTAATATACCACCAACAGCAGCAAGTCTATTAAATTAGACAAATTTAAAGATTTTATATACGATATTATTTAACTTACACAACATTAGGCCATGAATACCAAGAATAAAATGCTGTAAAAGTTGATGAAGAAATTTTTAAATCAGATTTCATTACATCTTCTAAGCCGGCCGGATTATCATAACAGTAATAGGATCCTAATAAAAATGAATAGAAGAGTACGTTTTTTTTTTAATAAAATAAAATTCATTTTTACCAAATGATAAAAAGCACATAAAAAATACGGCAACCCATCTAAGATATGGTCCACGTGGATCAAGTAATCCATGATAAGTTCTTGTGCCTTGTCGATTAACTAATTGAGTTTGTTCGTCATCAACTGGACTTGATCCTTCCATTTTTCTTCTACACGATGTTCAAAGATCTCAAATACAAAAATAAAAAAAAGAACATAAATAATGATGATAACATAAATT